TTGAAAAACAGACACACGCAAAAAAGACTGTATTCTTTTAAAAGGCCAGTGTCATAAAGGACAAAGAAAGGCTGAGGAATTATTCCAGATTAAAAGAGACTGAAAAGATATTATCACTAAATGCAATATGTGATCCAAAACTGGATCATGTACTGCAGGGAAAAAAAAATCTACAAAGGCTATTATTGGGTCCACTGATAAAACTAGAATAGAGATGATAAGATTAGTAAAAGTATTATAACAAAGTTAAATTTACTACAAGTAGTAACTACAGTAGCAATAAAAGAGAATCTTTTTTTCTTAAGAAATAATACCAGGAAGCATTTAGGGGTAAAGAGTAAACATTATATAACTTATTCTCAGACAGTTAAGAAAAAAATATGTAATAATATGGACACATACACATATTCACAGAAAAAGAGAGAACAGAGTAATTCATAAAGCAAATGAGGGAAAATGCTAACAATAGGTGAATCTGTACAAAGGATATAGTCTATGCATTCATAATGATAGTCTTTCAACTTTCCTATAAATTTCCAAATAAAAAGTTTTTTCAAAGAATGCAAAATTAAGACTTTTTCGGACAAACAAGCTGAGAGAATTTGTCTCAACAACACATCTGAACTACAAGAAACATTGAATAATACAGGTATGAGGGTTCATGCCTATAATCCCTGCACTTTGTGGGGCTAAAGCAGGAGGATCTCTTGAGGCTAGGCGTTCAAGACCAGCCTGGGCAACGTAGTGAGACCCTGTCTCTACAAAACAAACAAACAAACCAACAAAAGTTAGCTGTGCATGGTGGCATGCGCTTGTACTCCTTGCTACCTAGCACACTGAAACAGGAGGATTCCTAGAGTCTGAGGCTGCAGTGAACTATGATTGTGCCACTGCACTCCAGCCTGGGTGACAGAGCAAGACCCCATCTTTAAAAAAAAAAAAATGAATGAATAAATTTTTTCAGAAAATGTCCAAACACTGTGGAAATCAAGAAAAAAATAAGTTTTTCAGGCAAAAGAAAATGACACCAGATGAAACCTGGATCTACATAAAGAAACAAAGAATGCTGAAAATGGTAAATACGCAGGTAAACACAGACCTTCTTTTCCATTTTTTATTTATCGTTACTGTTTTTATTTAGTTTAAAGCAAAAATGGTAACAAGGTATTATGGAGTTTTTAATATATGTAGAAGAAAAATCTATGACAAAAGAGTACAAAGAATGAAAGTCATAAGGTCCTTACATTATACATGAAGTAGTATAACATTAATTGAAGGTAGAGTGAGATAAGTTAAAATGCATATAGTAAACTAGAACAATCACCCCTACAAAAAACAAAAGAAGTACAGCTCATAAAATGAAAATAACAAATACTCAGTTAATCTAAAAGAAAGCAGGAAATGAAGAAAAAAACAAAGAATGGTAGGATAAATAGCAAACAAGCAAGATGGCAGATATAAACCCAACCAAATAAAATACTTTAAACCTATAATTTAATACTTTAAAAATAAATATAAACCCAACCAAATAAAATACTTTAAACCCTATAATTTAATAGTAGAGATTGTCAAATTAAATTTAAAAAGAAAATCCAAGCCATATACTGCTTATAATAAAACAGTTTAAATATAATGATACAATAGGTTTAAAGAAAAATGAAATAAAGTAGTTTGCTATAGATTTTTGAAACAAGGATTATTATTAGAGACAAAGACATATATGCCATAATAACCAGGCTAAGTAATCAAGAAGATACATAATACTACTAAGAGAATCAAAATACAACAAAACTGAAAATATTGACAGGGAAAATGAAAAATCTATAAATACAGTTGGATATTTCAAAAAGCTTCTCAGTAATTGATAGAATCAGTAAACAGACTATCATCAAGGGTGTTGAAGACTTGAATACGCTATCAAGCAAATTTACATAACTAACATTTACAGATCACTATACAAAAAAGCAAACTTTTCAAGTATTTATTCAATATTCACCAGGAAGACCTAACACCTAAGTTATAAAGCACATCTCAATAAATGTAAAAGGTCTGAAATCATACAGATTTCACACAGAACAGGTTCTCTGAACCACCATGGAATCAAATTAGAAAGGAATAATAAAAAGATATCTAAGAAATAACCACATCTTTAAAAATTAAACAATACTTCTATATAATATATGAGTCAAAGAAGAATCTACAACAAAAACTAGAAAATATTTTAACTGAATGTAAAGGAAAATACATTCAGTAAAGGCCGGGCGCTGTGGCTCACGCCTGTAATCCCAGCACTTTGGGAGGCCAAGGTGGGCGGATCACGAGGTCAAGAGATCAAGTCCATCCTGGCCAATATGGTGAAACCCTGCTTCTACTAAAAATACAAAAAAAAATTAGCCAGGCATGGTGGCACGCGCCTGTGGTCCCAGCTACTCAGGAAGTTGAGGCAGAAGAATCCCTTGAAACCAGGAGGCAGAGGTTGCAGTGAGTCGAGATTATACCACTGCACTCCAGCCTGGTGACAGAGCAAGACTCCGTCTCAAAAAACCAGAAAAGGAAAATACAACCTATCAATGTTTGTGAATGCAGGCAAAATAGTATTTAAGAGAAAAATCTGTATTTTGAGTACATAGAGAACAATCTGAAATTAATTATCTAAACTTCCACAACAAGCTAAAAAAAAAAAAAAGAAGACCAAATTAAACCTAAAGTAAGTAGAAAGAGAGAAATCATAAAAGATTGGAATTCAATGAAATAGAAAAACAGACAAAAACTGAGAAAAAACAATTCGAGAAAAATGAAGCTGAAGGTTGGCTCTTTAGAAAAATGAGAAAAATTAATACTTGTAGGAAGAACAATCAGGAAAAAAGAAGACACATTTTCAGTATAGAAAATGAAAGACAGTAGTAAATCACCACAAATCCCATAGATATTAAAAGGTTAACAAGAAAATGTTACTTAAAAAAAAACAAAAACAAAAAGAACCCTCTGGTAATAGATTCAACAACTTAGATGAAATGAACACATTCCTTGCTAAAGATGAATGGTTAGTTTAATATTCAAAAATTAATCAGTGTAATGCAAATTAATACCACATTCAGTAGGAGAATAACAATAAAAAAGACAGACTAACAGGTGTTGGCAAGGACATGGAGCAATTGGAACTCTTTTTTTCTTTTTTTTTTTTTTTGAGATGGAGTCTGACTCTGCCATGCAAGCTGGAGTGCAATAGTGCGATCCTGGCTCACTGCAACCTCTGCTTACTCGGTTCATGCAATTCTCCGGACTCAGCCTCCTAAGTAGCTGGGATTACAGGCACCCACCACCATCACCTAGCTGATATTTTGTGTTTTTAGTAGAGAACGGTTTCACCATATTGGCCAGGCTAGTCTCCAATTCCTGACCTCAGGTGATTCACCCGCCTCGGCCTCCCAAAGTGTTGGGATTACAGGCATGAACCACTGTGCCCAGACCAACTGGAAGTTGTATATGTTGCTGATAGGATGTAAAATGGTGTAGTCACTTTATACGACAGTTTAGCAATTCCTCAAAATGTTAAAATAGAGTTACCATATGATTCACCAATTCAAATACACAATAGAAATGAAAACGTATATCCACACAAAAAATTTTACATAATGTTCGTAACAGCATTATTTATAATAGCCAAAAAGCAGAAAAATGTCAGATGTGAACTAATGAACAGACAGAAAAATGTGACATATTCATACACTGGAATATTATTTGGCAATGAAAATGAATGAGTATTGACCATAGATAAACCTTGAAAACATTATACAAGTGAAAGAAGTTAGTTTATAAAAGACTACAAGCTATGATTCCATTTAAAGGGAATATCCAGAATAGACAAATCTAGAGACAGAAAGTAAATTACTGGCTATCTAGAGCTGGAAAGGTTGGTAGAAAATGATGCCAATGGATACTGTGGTCTTTTTGGGTAACAATAATTTTTTTAAATTTAATGTGATGATAGTTGTGAATATCATTCACAGTCTGTGAATATACTGAAAACCACTGAACTGTATGTACAATTTAGGTGGCTATGAATTATGTATTATATGAATCATATTTCAACAAACTGATTAAAACTCAATTTTATAAATCATATCACAGAATAAAGAAAAAATATTATAATCTCAATAGATGCAGAATAAGAAATTGACAATTCAATGTTCCTTCGTAATTCTCAATAAACTAGGAAGGGAAGAAATGTCCTCAACCGAATAAAAGGCATTTATGAAAACCTATCAGAGTTAATAGTGAAAGACTAAATGTATTACCTGTAAGATTGGGGTATTCCAGAATTAAAAGAACGTATATTGATGCAATAGTATTGTCACTCAAATGTATTTTTGAAGGCAATTATTCTTCCTTTTGGGGAGATAGACCCCTGAAAAATCAGATGAAAGTTAGAGATCCTTTCTTTAAAAATTCATATAAAAAAAAGATTGGGGAAAGGAAAGGATATTTGCCTACATCACTTTTATTCCACATCGCACTGGAGGTTCTACCAGTGCAACCAACCAAGGGTAGAAAAATAAATAAAATGCATATCAACTGAAAAAAAAACTTGTTTTGACATGTAACCTTGACTGTGTATATGAAAATCCTATGAAATCTATAAAAAATCAGAAATAGTGAATTTCACTAGTTAATAGTATACAAATATATAAAATGTAATATATCAAAATGAATCTTCAAAATAGTAATAAACAATAAGAAATTGAAATTTTAAAACACCACTCACAATAGCACCAAAAGACATAAAATATTTAGGGATAAATTTAACAAAATACATGGAACACACATACATAAAAAACTAGACAGCACTATTGAGAGAAATTAAAGGAGGCCTAAAGAGACATACCAAGATTATATATTAAAAGTCTTAATATTGTTAAGATATGAGTTCTAAGCTGATCTATATAATCTCACTCAAAATCCCAAAAGGTACACATTAATAAACTGACTGCCCTGCAGATGCTGTCCTGGACCTACCAGCAGCACAGATGCAGATGCTCTGCTCTGCCTGTAACATCGGGGAAAAGTCAAAGTGGTTATTTCCACACTCAATATTCGGAAAACAGTAAACAACAAGAATGGAGAATAGCCTGACATTTCTTAGAGAGAAAAAACAAACAGAAGAAAAAAAAAAAACCTGAGTCTAACATTTATGTAGAATTGCAAAGGACCTACAACAATTTTGAGAACACAGTTGAAGGACTTATACTACCTAATAATTTTAAGACTTACTATAACGTTACAGAAATCAAGAGTGTGGCATAGGTGAAAGAAAAGATACACAGATCAATGGAACGGAATAGATTCTAGACAGATTCACATACTATACATGGCCAACAGGTTTTTCACAATGGAGGCAAAGTAATTCAATGGGGAAAAGAGTCTTTTCAACAAATGTGCTGAAAAACTAGATATACATATTTTTTAAATGAACTTTGACATTTACCTTCTACCATGTAGAAAAACTAAATGAAAATGGATCATAGATTTAAATACAAAAACTAAAATTATAAAACTCCTGAAAATAACACAGGAGAAAATCTTTGTGATCTTAGGATAGGCAAATATTTTGTTGATACACAATACAATTACATATCATGAAATGATACACAAGACCCATAAATCATAAAATAAAAAAGTAAACTAATTTCATCTCTGCTCTTCAAAGATATCATTAAGAAAATGACAAGGTAAGCCACATACTAAGATAAAATATTCACAACACATATATTTAACGAATTCAGTATCCAAAATATAGAAATAACTTACAAATCAATAAAAGGAGTTAAGGGGCAGAATATTTCAACAGATCCTTTATCAAAGAAAATACACAAATAGCAAATAAAAACATCAAAAGACAGTAGACACCACTAGTCACAGGAAAATGCAAATTAAAACCATCATGAGATACCACTACTGCACACCCACTAGAATGGCTAAAATTAAGAAGAATGAAAATACCAAGTGTTAGCAAGGGTGTGGAAAAAGTGGGACTCTCTCACACAATGCAAAATGGTTCAGTCATTTGAAAAACTATATGGCAGGTTCTTATAGTTACATTTACCATATGACCCAGCAATTCAACTTCACCCAAGAGAAATGAAAACATATGGTTACACAAAGATCTGTGAACCCATGTTCACAACAGCTTTATCGATAATAAAAAAAAAATTGAACATAGTCCAGTTGTCCATTAATAGGTAAAAGGGTAGGCAAATTGTGGCCATAAGCAGAACACTGCCAAGCAATAAAAAATAAATGCACTGGCCAGCCATGGTGACTCATACCTGTAATCCCAGCACTTTGGGAGTCTAAGGAGGGTAGATCACAAGGTCAGAAGTTCGAGACTAGCCTGGCCAATATAGTGAAATCCCGTCTCTACTAAAAATACAAAAATTAGCTGGGTGTGGTGGCAGGCACCTGTAGTCCAGCTATTCGGGAGGCTGAGGCACGAGAATCGCTTGAACCAGGGAGGCGGAGGTTGCACTGAGTCAAGATCATGCCACTGCACTCCAGCCTGGGCAACAGAGCGAGACTCCATCTAAAAAATAAATAAATACGGTGGCTCAAGCCTGTAATCCCAGCACTTTGGGAGGCCAAGGCATGTGGATCACGAGGTCAAGAGATCGAGACCATCCTGGTCAAAATGGTGAAACCCTGTCTCTACTAAAGATACAAAAAATTAGCTGGACATGGTGGCGCGTGCCTGTAATCCCAGCTACTCAGGAGGCTGAGGCAGGAGAACTGCCTGAACCCAGGAGGCGGAGGTTGCGGTGAGCCGAGATCGTGCCATTGCACTCCAGCCTGGGTAACAAAAGCAAAACTCCATCTCAATAAATAAATAAATAAATAATATATATACTACTGGTAAAAGCAACATGAAAAAAATCTCAAAAGTATTATACCCAGTGACAGATGCCATACGTAAAAGACTACATACTATACAATTTGTGTAATTTCATTTATGTGACAGTCTAGAAAAGGTAAAATTATAGGGCCAAAAAAAAGAGATCAGTATTTCCTAGGGTCTTAGAGTGAAGGAGAGGGAATATACTTCAAAGGGGCATTGAAACTTGTTAATGAAGGAAATGTTCTACATTTCAATTAGAATAATGGCTAAATGACAATATACATTTGTCAAAATTCATCTATACACTTTTAAAGAATGGATTATATTGTAAGTAAATTATACCTCAATAAAAAGGGCACATAACAAAGTGACAAGCCATTGAATATAAGAAAACTATACAAAAAGTAGTTGTATTTTTCTAAACAAGTAACTAATAAAAATTGACATTTTTTAACAAAACACAATGTACTACTGCATCAAAAATATCAAAGAATAACTCTTTAAAAAGATGTGTAAGCCTCCACACTGAAAACTGCAAAGCATTACTGACAAAAATCAAAGATGAATAAAGGGATAAACTATATTCATGAATTGGAATACTCAAATACTATACAGATATCAACTATCCCAAAATTGATCTACAAATTCAATGTAATCCCAATTTAAAACTTATATGGAAATACAAAAGGCCTAAAAAAATCAAGTCAACTTCAATAATCAAAGCTGGAAGAACTATATTACCAGAAAGCAAGACCTAATATAAATTATTTATAACGTACTTAAGACACACAGTATTTATCCTGCACAAGGGTTAATAACAGTCCAATGGAACAAAACAGTGTCCAGGCGTACACATGTACAATTAGCTGATTCTCAGCCAAGACTTCTGGCAATTCAGTGGGAGAAAGAATGGCATTTCAATTAGTGGTGCTGCATCAATTCGTTATTCATATGAAAAAAATAAGACAATCTTGTGCTCTACCTCACAACATATGCTAAGATCAATTCCAAATAAACTGTACATCAAAATTTAAGAGCAAGAATAAAGTTTTTAAAAAAAAAAAAGATAAAAGAAAGAGAAGATTTGCATGATCTTGAAATAGGCTAAAGTAAAAGCACTAACCAAAAGGAAAAATGTAATGAATCAAACTATATGAAGAACTTCTACTCTTCAAATGATGTCATTAAGAGAGTGAAAAGTTGAAATTAGAAATATACATACATCAAGCAAAATATTTTTATCCAGAAAATTTCAATTACTCCCACAAATAAGAAAAATAGATCCCCAAGAAGAATTGGACATGAGATTTAAACAGGTATTTCACCAAACAGGACATCCAGATGCCATATAAAACATATAAAATAAGCATATAAAAATGTGCTGAACATGATAAGTTATTAAGGAATGCAAATTAAAATAACAAGGTGCTGCCATGGACCCACTAGAATGGCTAAAATGGAGAGTTAACAATGGTGATGTTGTCAAAGGTGTAGAACAACCGACACCCGCATACCCTCCTGATGAAAGTATACATGACTACTGAATTTGGGGCTCTATCCATGAAAGCTGAACATCTGCAAATATATAACAGCAATTCCATTCATTCATTCATATATATATATATCCAGCAGCAACATGCACCGATGTGCACCAAAAGATATGTAAAAAATTATTTACAGCAGCATTATAACAGAGAAAAAGTGGGAAAAAATTGAAATGTCTACTAAACACTGAATGGATAAGATGATATGTTTATACAATTGAACACCATATAGCAACAAAAATAAAAAAAATACAATTGTATACAAAAATGAATGAATCTTTTAATGTTGCACAAATAAGGGCAGGCACAAAAGAATACATAAGCTATTGTCCCATTTATTTAAAGATCAACCATAGGCAAAATGAACATGTGGGCTAAGAAGTCAAGACAGTGGTCAAATGTGAGAATGAAGTAGTGAATGGGAGGGGGGCAGATAGCTTCTGGGATGCCAGTAGTGATCTCAGTAGTGGCTACAACATTTTCACTTTATGAAATTTACTTTGTGATAATTCACTAAACAATACACTTATACGTTGTGTGTTTAATGTTTGCACGTTATTCACCAAGTTTTTTTAAATTAAGCAATTCTATATGTTAATAATAGAAAGAACTCCAACATATGTGTGTGGTTTAATGAAAAGAACCAACCGTTAAATTGTGCACTACACAGAATACTAACATTTTGTAAAACAGTAATGAAAAGCATTTATGTTTGTGTACAAAAATCATAATGGCAACATTTACTGAATGCTAACTACTTGTTAAGGTACTGTCCGAGGCACTTTCCATGGCTTTTATCATTTATTCCTCTCAACATTATGAAGTAGGCAGTATTATAACCCTTATTTTTTGAATGAGAAAACTGAGGTACAGAGATATCAAGTAACATGCCCATAGTCACCAAGCCATAAAGCTGAAAAACGGCACCGTAACCCAGGCTCTCCAGATCCATTCTTCCCCACCACACTTTCCCTAGAAAGGCACATGAGAAACTGGCAATAGCAGTGTCTCTGAGAAGAGATCTGAGCATTGGAAGACAGGCTGAGAATAACCTGGCTTATCAAAGCAAACTGTAGGTACATTTTGAAGGAAGACATTCTCATGTCTTACCTTTATCAAAAATGTATTTATTTACAATATTTTTCTATGGTATATGATTTCTGAGCTACACCAAATTTCTTTATCCAGAAGGTAAGCATGACTCACTGTTTTATTACTTTACCTGATTTAGGATGCAAAGCATCGCACTGGGCATTGTACATGTGTACAAATTCTTGGTGCCTTTTAATGAGCTGTTGTTTATTTCCTTGAATAGATAATCCATGCTCTTTTAGTTTTTTCTTTAAATCACGATCAGAGAGCAAATTATATACAGTTTTGGGCAGCGGCTTCCTTTTGTAAACAGAACTGAAAAGGGGAGAAAGATTCCTGATGATTATTGTGAATTATCAAATGCTTTTCATGTAAAATGGCAATTTATCTTCTGATTCAACAACTAGGTGACTGGAGAACTAGTAGAACCATTAAGATAAAAAGGAGAGAGAAGAATCGAGTTTGCAGATAAAGCTGACTGTCTAACATAATGCATCTGAGGTGCTGGTGACATATTCAGACACAGGGGCCTAGATGGCACCAGAAGTGAGAGACTTGGGTCTCAAAAAGAGGTCATACCTACAGAGGCACACTTAGAAGACACATATGTAAGGCTTTTGGTATATGTTATGAGGACTTCACTTAGAATCACACTTACATAGACCTACTGGGCTAAAATGTAAACTACCTAAAAGTACCAATGACTTGAGACAATTCCGTAAACAGGAACTCCTTAGTGAGTTTTAATCCATTTCATCTGATTATAGTAGGTTCTCTACCTAGCTCAGCTTTATGGCAATTAGGTGCTAAACAAAAACATTCTCAAGGAGGTCATTACACTTGCCATCATTTCAAAATGAGAATAGCAAAGATTCAAATGAAAATTAACAGAAACTTGAAATAATAGGTTTATCCAAAAAACAAGTTTTTACAAAGGATTTGCATATAACTAGCTCACAGGATGCTGTCCCAAACGTTAGTGTACCTAAGAAGCACCTAAAGAGTTTATTTAAAATGCAGATTCTCAGTCCCCTTCTCCACACCATCCACCAATTGTGGTTCAGGTCTGAAGCGGACATCTAAAATCTCTATTTTCAACAAGGTTCTCTGGAGTAAATCTGATATAAATGGTCCCATAATCAAACAGAGAAATATTACAGTCAGGTATAGACTGAAAACAATCAAAAATTTCTCTATTAACCAACAGTGCCATTACCTGACTAAATTATGTCTTTTATGTTGTAATAATAAAAAATAAAGCCAGAAATAACTAATTAACTGTGAAAAGACCTGCAAACTCTCAACAGATTATATTTTTCTGAAAATTGCTCTTATAATGACAGCCCATCAGGCTCTACAAGACTGATAAAATTATGGCAAAATGAAATCTCAGTAGGTAACAACTGCTGAATCATTTTGTGTTTATACAAGCACAGAGGGAGAGATGATTCATTAAGTCTGTATCTAAAATATTTGTTTTATCAAGGATAGATGATTAAACTATGACTGTGAAATTCTATTGAAGAACTGTACTGTTCACTGGCATTTACAATAAAAAGCACCACCAAAGATCAACAATTTCTGTCAGGAATTTAAAAACATGAAACCTGATAAATGTTTCCCCAAACACGAAAATGACATTTACTTTTCTTCTATGATTTAGTAGAACTGAGTAATACATTTAAGGGCCCTCAGAATCTGAGGACATCAAAGGAAGAGTACATTCTCTGAATCAGTTCTGACATGGTTTTATACAGAAGGGTTAAGGGCTGCCACTCACATCCAGCAAATGGCCTGTCAGGATATTGTGGAGGAAAACAGGAAAACTTGCACGGCCTCTTCTCTGTGACCCGATCCTGGGGCCTGGATACTAAAGAAGGACATGGCCAATGTTGTATTCAGTGACTCCACAAACACCAGTTTTGTAAGATGGAAGTGATGAGGACAGAAAGATTTGGTGGTCAAATAAATTTAGGAATTACTAAATTAAAACCTAACAGTCATCCTTAATGTAGGACCTCTCAAAGCCTTTAACACACTAAGAGGGGTACCCAGGAGGTAGTGCTTCTAATTCTAAGTTCACTACAGAGCACTGGGAGGACTATAGTATTCTTTGGAGAAGAAATTTGACTCACTGTTAGAACTTAATTACACATGGACAAGTATGCCTTTAAATAAACTGACAGCATCAGAAATGATCTATCAGAAATGTATTCAAACTGATGAATGGATCTAGAAAAAGGGTAGTCCAGGCAACATCATCAGTGCAGATTCCTTATTCTTCAAAAATAATATACTCAGCTTCTATATTCCCAACTCATGCATTTCTAAAGAGAAAAGAAGGTCATCTGACTCTCGTGGCTTACAGGAAATAATCCTTAGCACTACTCATTTTCTTAAAATCGCCACTAAGCCACCTAAAAATGTAAATTTTATTGTCATCAACAAAATTGCCCACCAGGTGGGAGTACTGTGCATGCAAAACTGCCCCACGTTTGGACTCAAGTATGTCTACCATTTTTAATAAGGCATCACTGTGTTTTATATGTTAGCTTTTGTAAGTTATAACAGCATGAATCTGACCCTCAATATCTGCATTCACTCCAAATTTACTTATAAAAATTAAGTGACATCTTTAATCACAATAATACGATGGCTCTGTTTTATTAACACTGTTTTTGGAAAATAGTCTTCAAAGTCCTTTAAAACAGTCTGAACATAGAAGCAAATCATTCTTTCATCACCACTTCCCAGGATACAACTAAAGAAGGACAGTAATTTCTTCAGTTTCCCTCCTCTTCTTTTCCAAATATCTCTGAATTACCACCTATTAGCTTCCCCTTGCCTCCTGTTTCAGAAGAGTCCTTTCTGCATGTCAAGGATAACCTCAATACTAGGCTCTTGTGCTCCTCAGTTTCTTCCATTTATCCTCTGCTCTCTCCCTGGAGATAGTGGAAGGAAAGAGACTGAAGGCTTAAACTCCTGTTTTTAAAAACATCTTCCCTTGATCTTCACACCACTCACTCCTTCTCCAAACTACCATCTCATCTTTCTCCCTTCATCACCAGACTCATCTAAATTGCATCTTCTGATTCTTTATTATGCATTGATTCCTTAATGCCTTTCAACTTAAGTTTGTCTAATATTTCATTCCTGAACAACTTGTATGTATAACAGTAGCGGACTAGTTTAAAAATTACAGTTACTTTGATGTACAAGAGAGGCAGAATAGCACAGTAGTTCAGATGCAAATACTAAGCTGACAATTTATTAGTTACATTACCTGGATGGTGTGGGGTTGGGGTGAGATGGGATACAACATTACATTTCACATTTGCATTTTCATACCTTTTTATATTATATAATATATATATATATAAAATTTCCTAGTCAAAAATTTTTGAAAACTTTGATTTTAAATTTTAAAACTCCTGAGCATCTTAAGGACCAAAGAAAGATTTCCTATATCCTATATTTAGAGTCTAATCTTGCTTTCTTTGGCCAAGAGGCTTTTTGGTAGTTCTAAAATTCTAAGAGAAAAAAAAAACTTTAAAAAGAATTGAATGTGAAGTCACTAATTTCTTATTAAGTCAAATTTAGTAGCAGTTCAAATATTCAATACAACTAATCATAGTTGGTAATGTGGGAGTTGAAGACAGAACAGAGGAGAGGAATTGGAAGAGGCAGCCAACAGGATTAAAGGAGAAATCAAGTAAGAGTGGGAAATACAGTCGCCAGGATAAAATGAATACTGTAATTTTCCCCCAAGTTTATAAAGCACAAGAGACATCCAGCTAAAGTAGCTCAATGGTTCTGCCCAGCCTCCTTACCTTCTGAGGCTTTCCTTCTTCTCTTCGCGTGTTAAACAGCTATCTAAATGCTTATTAATGTGATTTTCTGGAATGTTAACCCCACAAACAGGACAATCCACTGTATTTTTTAAAAAGAAAAAGACTTTATTAATTGTAGAAGGGGCAAAAGTAATGTAAACTGGAATCTTTTCAGCAATTAAAGTAAAAAAGAATTCCAACTTAATATGCACTTAGAAAAGCAGAAAAGAAAAAGAATGGCCCATCAGGACAACAGGAGTGGGACAGACTGGTTACTGGGTAATGGCCAAATTGTGGAAGGTCACACAGTTGAAGTCCTAGGCCCAGAAGAAGAAACTGCAAATAAGCTTGAAAGTTCGTTTACTAGAAAATGCTTTGGTTAAATCTTTTCTACCAAGGTATGACCAAATTATAATAAAACTAATCTTAAATTTTCCCAAGCCTTAGGAGCTATCCATGTTTAGCATAGAAGCAAGAGTAACCTCAGTAAGATATACCTGGCCCAGGGGCTGGGCAAAGGACAGGTACAACTAGATTAAATAATTATTGAGTTGGGCCAACTACTGTTCAATTTTGTCAATGATTACAAATTTGTTAATTTAGCTCTCATTTGTAATTCCATATATAATGTTAAAATTAAGGAATACTGTCATTCTCAAACTATTTCATAAAGTTGCAGAGATCTGTGGGGGTATCTCAGGGCCTACAGATCACCATGGATAAATAGGCAGGAGTACAGGTGGAACAGAACAATCTATTTTATATGTTATGGTTTATTGTAAAATTTCATTTGGGAAAAAAAGGTTTTGCTAGGGGAAAAACAGTTAACCATCAAGCTAAAAAATACTACAATAAGAATTGTCAATTGGTAAAAAGACTAAGGATATAGTTAAAACTGTAAGTCGGGCTAGGCGCAGTGGCTCACGCCTGTAATCCCAGCACTTTGGGAGGCTGAGGCAGGCGGATCATGAGGTCAAGAGATCAAGACCATCCTGGTCAACATGGTGAAACCCCATCTCTACTAAAAATACAAAAAATTAGCTGGGCATGGTGGCACGTGCCTGTAATCCCAGCTACTCAGGATGCTGAGGCAGGAGAATTGCCTGAACCCAGGAGGTGGAGGTTGTGGTGAGCTGAGATCGCACCATTGCACTCCAGCCTGAATAACAAGAGCAAAACTCCGTCTCCAAAAAAAAAGAAAAAGAAAATGTAAGTGAAATTTATATCTCTTTTAAAGAAGTAAACACATAAGTACTAACAAACTAATTCAATCTAAGTTTAATAAACACTCACATCTCTGCACTGTGTATGGTATGGGTATACCAAAGATGTCTAAGAGTTTCTGCCTAAAACGTGCTCTAAACTTCACTGGAAAGAAGACACAAAAACAAAAGGTTAAACAAGCTGACATATTTATCAAACAGCTAAGCAAATGGTATATAAAACAGTCCAGAAAACAAGTGTTATAGCACTTTTGTGATGTGAGACAGTGTTTTCTAACATAACCAACGAATAGTGAAGATCCGGATAGAGTCTGGAAAGGTATAGAACTTTTTAGTTCTATACTGAAATACAGAACTGAAATAACATTCACTAAGAATATTTGCGGTCACCAAACATTCTTAGTGAAGGGGCAGGTAGTGAAGAACTTAGACTTTATGAATCATATGGCCTCTGTCACAACCACGCAACTCTGCCACTGTAGCATGAAAGCAGCCACAGTCATATGTAAACAAATGGGTATGCAAACTTTTATTTACAAAAACAGGTGGCAAGCCAGATTAGATCTTCCAGCTGAAGTGTGCCAATTCCTCGGTGTACTGGAGGAACAGTGGGGAGATCAGCTTGGCTAGAGCAAGACTTCTGAGAGGGAGAGGTCAGCAATATGGCGGGATGACTAGGGTAGGGCTCCAATTGTCAAAGGCTCTACATGGCAGGCAGAACAGTGAGGAGGTGGTCAAGCAGTGGCAAAATAAGATAAAAAGAGCTCTTCAAGATTATATGCAAACTGATACACTGAATTGGGGAGAAAAGGATTAAAAGCTAAAAACAGAAAGCTACTGCCATACTTGAAGTGTGCCATACTTGAAGCCTGAACTAATTAAAATTGTATACTTTTTGTAGCAGTCAGCCTGAATTCCTATTTCTGAAAAAGAACAAACATATCTACATCAATGGCTGAGACTATGACACAGTGAAATATTATTTGTCCTTTACCATTCCTTCCCCCTCAAAGATGTTGCCTATTTATTCTTATGTCAAGTGGATGAAAAGATTTCCATACTTCCACATATGAAAATAACTTCCTACCTTTAGTAACTTGTTTCAAAGTGGATGTTGAGGGTGTCTCAGGACGCTGAGCCTCTGAGGAACCTGGAGCCATCTCTTCTACAGAACGTGTCTCTTTGGTCTTTGCAGCAGGGCTTGCCTCTTTTGGAGGGCTGAATTTGCTTTCATTTTCTTTTATCAACAACTCTGATGTAGAAACACTCGTTTCTCTGATCAAGAAATTATCCATTAACCTGCTCCCCTGCTTTAAAGACAATCTGGAGGCTATAGGAGTATCTACCTTGACAGCAAGATTCTTTGATGAGGAAGAAGCAGGAAATTTGGGTGGTGACTCTAAAGCAAACTGCAACAGATGATTCCTTGAAGTACAAAAAACACAACAGATAATTAAGATATCAAATTTTATACAATAAATTAACTGACATATGCTGTTTTCCCAATTAACCTTGTTTTCAGAAATACAGGACTTATACTATAATGACAAACAAACCAAAGTTTCTTCTAGAATAACTCAAAGCAATAAATCTAACTTAAAAGGCAGTTATGTGTCAATAAAACAAAATGAAAGGAAATCAGCTTTAGACCAAAGAGAATAGCTTATATGAGACCTAATCTCCAACTGTAAGTAACTTTAAGATCTGAACAAAATATACTGATAGAGTCTGGATATTGTTTCCACCAAATCTCATGTTGAAATGTGATTCCCAATGTTGGAGGCGGGACCTGGTGAAAGGTGATTGGATCAGGAGGGCGAATTTCTCATGAATGGTTTAGCACCGTTCCCTTAGTGCTGTCCTTGTGACAGTGAATTCTCATGTGATCTGGTTTAAAAGTGTGTGGCACCTATGCCCCCGTCTTGCTTCCACTCTCAACCACGTGATAATGCTGCGCCTGTCTTTTGCCTTCCAATGTGATTTTTAAGCAGCCTAAGACCTCACTAGAAGCTGAGCAGATAGCTTGTACAACTGCAAAACTATAAGCCAACTAAACCTCTTTTCTTTGTAAATTGCCCAGCCTCAGGTTTTACTTATGGCAATGCAAGAATGGCCTAACACACATTAAAAAAAAAAAACCAACTCTTTGTAGGCACTGGACTGAAATCAACACAAGGCTGCAATCCCTGATAAAAAAGAAAACATTAAGTAATCCAACATTTCCCCAAGACTTTACCCTGGAAGCATTTTCTAGGAATTGGGTATTAAAATGAAGTCTAAGCAGGAAATAGTTATCTTAGTAGAGAAAATCAGAGATCAGAGTTCTGGGCAAAGGTGTCCAGGATTGAGGGGTCAGAGTACTTTCTGATGTGGTAGCTACTGAAAGGGAACCCCAGAAGTCTGCTCAGAAATTCACATCCACTTCTGCTCATCTCCAGGGCTGCACATGACTAGACAAAAACACAGGAGACCCAGTAGAAAGCTGATACTGGTAATTTAAAATCCCAAAGGTCAGTGCTGGAAAGTTAGTTATTAGCACTGAAGTCTAGCCAAAGCTGAGAAATCTTTATGAAGACGATGGATATTCAAGTGAGATCCCACAAAGGTCTCATCTTAGAAAAATGGACCACACTGAAAAAATACAAGTAAAACTCCAACAGACCTAACCTACGAAAACATTATACCAGGCCTTGACAGAACAAAGATGAAGAGCTGGTAATTTAACTGCCTGTTAGAACAAAATGCAACCAATACTCTAAGCTTCCAACTTAAAAGGTTAGGAAATGAACAGTAAACAGCAAAAATAAACCAAAAGAAGAGAGGAACTAATAACAGATACTAGTGAAACAAGTGAAGCCAAACATTGGTTCTTTGAAAAAAATTAACAAAATTATTAATTGCTACTAAGACTGAACTAAGAAATACATGAGAGAAAATACAAATTACCAAAACAAAGAATTAAAAGAAGACATCTTTATAAATCCTATAAAAAAGATAATTGGAGGATATTATAAACACTTTGTAATAAATTTTAAATTTTAGATTAAATGGACAAATTCTTTGAAAAGCACTATTCATCAAAATTGACAAACAGAAAACCTGAAGAGCCTTTATTATCTATTAAAGAAACTGAAGCTATAATTTAAAACTTTCCCACAAAGAAAACTCAAAGCCCAGACGGCTTCACTGGTAAAAAATTCTACCACATATTTAAGGAAGATATAATATCAATATTATATGACCTCATCCAGAAAATGGAAAAGAACAAACACTTCCCAACCTATGCTGAAGTCAGCATAACCTTGCTAACAAAACCACACAAGCACATTGTAGGAAAGGAAAATTATTCAATAATTTTCCAATAATTTCTCATATAGACACAAAAATCCTAAATGAAATATTAACAAATAAAATCTAAAGATAAATTTTTAAAATGTGATGTGTCATGACTCAGCAGAATTTATTCCAGAATGCAAGGCTGGTTTACTATTTGAAAAATCAACCAGTGCAATTCCCCACATAAGCAAAATAAAGGAGAAAAACTATATAATCATCTCAATAAATGCAGAGAAAGCATTTGATAAATTTTAACACCCATTCAAAATAAAAACGTTCAGATAACTAGGAATAGAAGGAAACTTTCTTAATCTGATAAAAGATATTTTCACAAAAGCTATAGCTAGTATCAGTCATTAGTGAAGCACTGACATCTCCTCCAAAGACAGGAAATAAAACAAGGATGTCTATCACCACCACCTGGAGAGAAAACTTTATTTACAAATAAAATGATTATGTACAAAGAAAATCCCAAAGAATCTACTAGGACCTAGAATAAGAGAATTTTCAAAAGATTCTGTATCTAATGTCAATAAATAAAAATTAATGTTATACCTATATATTAGCAAACAAAAAATAAAATTTTAAAAAATTTTAAAATACCACTTAAAATGTCATCTGAAAATATTAAATATTTGTGAATAAATTTAATGAAAATGTGCAAAACCTATGTCCTGAAAACTATAAAACACTGCTTAGAGATAAAAGGCCAAAATGAATGAAGAGCTATTTCACGTCAATGTTAAGAAAGTGGGCATTTTTCCCACATTGATTTATAAACTCAAGGCAATCTCAATCAAAATACAAGCTACTTTTTTGGAAGTGGAAATCATATATGCATTCTAAAATCTATATGGAAATGCAAAGGCCCTAAAATGCCAGCAGTCTTGAAGAAGAGCAAAGTTAGAAACTTGAACTACCAGATTTTAAGGACTTACAATACACCTAAATTATTAAAGACATTGCAGTATTCACTTAATGACAAAGAAAATATGAAACATAATGTGTCCACAAATAGACTCATACATACATAGTCACTTGATTTACAACAAAGGAGTCACTGCAATTTAGTGAATCTTTTTAATCATGGTGCTAGAGCAACTGAGTATCTGTTGAGAAAAAAAAAAATGACTCCTAATACTTATCTCCATCATACACAAAGATTAACTTGAATAAGTTCATAGATCTAAATGTAAAAGCTAAATCTGTAACAATCTTGGAAAAAACATATTTAAAAATCTTGATAGGCAAAGATTTCTTATCATTAAAAAGCACTAACCATTAAAAAGGCAGAGAGAAAAACTGAACTTCATCAAAATTAAAACATCTGTTCGTCAAAAGATACCCTTAAGAAAACGAAAAGGCAAGCCACAGACAGGAAGCAAAAAATCACAATACATATATTTAATCAAAATACACAAAGAGCTCCTACCAATCAATAAGAAAAAGACAAAATTCAATTTTCTTAAATTGGACAAAAAACTGAAAGACACTTAAGAATAGTCAATGGCACATTAAAAGGTACATTAGTCATCAGGAAGGGGAAGGGAATGAGAAGGGAAGGGATAGTCTTGCTCATCTGTTAACTATAATAACCTTACTTCTTTAGAATGTGGCTAAGAATCAAGAGTCAAAATAGGCCTTTGTGTAGACATGGGCAGCCCTTAAATCTATGCAATCAATTCCATGGACTTCTGTAACTGAAGTCCCTGCAACACTTGTTCTGAACAGAAACATGTAAACAGCAGTCTAGAACCATTTGGCTAAACAAGCAGTGGTCCACCCAAGCAAAAATTCTTTTTATAGCAGCTTAAGGTATCAACACTATTGAAAATATAGGCAATATATCATAATAATTAATAATAATAATAGGAATCTTTTTAGGTTCCTTTGTTCTAGGTATTATATGCTAGATATCTTTTACTATAGCTCTTCATTTCTAATCCTCAAGGTATCGACAGTATTATCATCATTTTTTAGATGAGGAAACAGAAGGCAAAGAGGTGAAATATCTTGCTCACAATCACTTTAGAACTAATAAGGCCTAGACCAACTCCCAGTTCTGCCTGAATTCAACATGAGTATGCTTTAAACTATAGAATAAAAAAGGTGAAACTATATTCTATATCCTCTTTGTGAGCTGTTGAGGGAATTATCTACTTGAATTGTCATATAAGATGTTTAAATTCTTAAACGTAGAATATTTGCAGAAAAACTTATCCCTTGATGGTGGATAAACAAAAGCAGTAAATGATGTTCTCTACTCTCAATTCCTGAAAACGATAGAGATGGACGCTGGCTACAAAAACAGACAAACAATATTCACTTAAGTCAAGAATGATGCTACACTTAGACAAAAATATTCTAAGAAATGTTCAACAACAGGTTAAGAACATTATTTTAAATAACACTAAGTCAAGGAAAAAAACACATATTCTTTGAAAGTAAAAGTCAAAGGTCAGACAAAAATATAAGAGCTATATGTCAGCCTTGTAGCTGAAAAACCGCAATTATTTCCAATATCCCTTTTATATTATTAAATCTAGAATATTAAATATTTAAAGTCATAATGGCACGTAAAATGACAATGACAGATGAGAATGCCAAGAAGAAATGAAACTGACAAACAATATAAATATCTTACATTTTGGTCATAGGATTAAACTTCCTCCCTCATAAATCTTAAACCAGAGTTCAAACAGATAATGAAATTGGTTAGCTTGAATTTTTTTTTGAAATCCTAGGTTTGCAAATGAAGTACCACAGCACTTTACATATGACAAATGTTCACCACGATGATGCCAAGAAGAACAGCAATTCCAAGAAAGCAAAGAGAGAAAGGAGCGAACATAAACCATCCCAAATCTACAAAGAATGCTTCCCACCCTACCACATCCACTATAATGAATAATGAAATCGCCTATTCCTTTCAGGAAGGAGAGGGGACAGAGGAGAGCTCAACAATTCCATGACCTCCCCTTAAGTAACACCAAAAGGTCTGTGAATCCAAAGATACTGATCACTTCTCTTCAACAAACAGATGCTGTTATTTGCAAGGCTTCCTTTATCCTACCTAACAGGAAAGTTGTTATGCTTCAGTACTAGCTGAGAAAAACGGGAAATAAATTCCCTTTTAAAGGCATGGCCCCACTGCCTCATAGATTTCAAAAATAACTGGTGAAAAATGTTAAGAAAAACAGTAACTTTAATTGGGAAAATCAGATAATTTTAAAGTTTCTTAATCTAGGAAACTATGCCATCTTTTTTAAACTTCTTTTTTAAACTATTCCATCTTTTTTTCCTTAGGAAATAACTAACCATCTGATTTCTAGAATGCACATGAAATTAGCTCAGACTACAGTCGGCCCTTCAAATCTGCCAGTTCCACATCTGTGGATTCAACTAATCACAGAGCAAAAATGTTCAAAAATTAATAAAAGTAACAATACAACAATAAAAAATAAATTTTAAAAACACAACTATTTATATAGCATTGTATTAGGACTATAAGTAATCTAGAGGTGATTTAAAGTATAAGGGAGGATGTGTATATGCAAATACTATGCCATTTTATGTCAGGGACTTCAGCATCACAGACTTTGGAATTCTTGGGGGTCCTGGGACCAATCAATCCCCTGTACTAAGAGAAAACTGTACTAAACTTGATCATTTTTAGAATGCAAACCAACAAAGAAATGTGCAATTTACTGAAAGAAAACTGTTTATATTTTTTAAAGCAACATAAGGTACCTCTAAGAATGTTCCAACAAGCCTAGAAGTCCCATCCAGTCACATGCCACACAATGACGCTTTGTTCAACAACAGACCAAATACATGATGATGGTTCCATTAAACTTATCCAAGTGTAACGTCCAATCCTGAAAGCTCAATTCATGCTAAATGCCCTATATAGGTGTACCATTTTTTATCTTTTATATCATATTTTCACTGTACTTTTTTCTATGTTTAGATGATTTAGAATATTGTAGGCATTGTATTGCAACTGCCTACAATATTTGATATAGTAACATACTGTACAGGTTTTGTTACCTAAGAGCAACAGGCCCTGCCATATAGACTAGGAGTGTAGTAGGCTATCCCACATGGGTTTGTGTAAGTACACTCTATGATGTTCACACAACAACCAAATTGCCTAACGACACATTTCTTGAACATATCCCTTTTAAGCAACATATGATTAAACTTAATTACATGGGCAACTGACCACTATCTAAACACAGTATGTCCTTCAAAAAAATTCTTGCTTGACTTGCATGATTAAAACTAAAAGTAATTCAAGATAGTGAAATGCCTTTTCATATCCCTTTGGGTGATCAAACTCACTTTCATACAGTCATGCAACTGACAGGAATTAAAGCTGCATATCTGAGCTTTATAAAGTACAAGCAATTACATATTTCAAATGCCATACCATTTAATACATGCTGAATAAATCAGATTAAGAATTAATAGATTAATATATAGCAGACAGAATCAATTATAGATATGTGCATATACAGGAGTTAGTACACATATATAACATACATATATTACTTAGCTCTATCCATTGAGTGGGGCTAGAAGCACTATCACCCCAGTAGCAACAAGCATACCCAGCACCAGATCCTGGTCACTAAATATTATTCTTCAATAAGAGGAGCTCCTTGAAGAAATGGCTGATTCCAGGGCTTGGACAGGAAAGCAAGTATCTTTAGAGCACCCAAAAGTTAAGGAGGTCCTCAAATCTGCATTTTAACTCTTAATTATTCTATACTACAGGAGAATTTCTGTTAAGTAAAGGAAGGAAATCTTACTTTAGTAAATTTTCATGTGTGAGTGACTACTGTTACTTCCCTTCTTTGACTATAAAATATGCAACCCTGCATTTCCTAATCCAAAAGTGCACAAAGAGAGAACACATATACAAGGCGAAAGTAGTTAGAGGTTAGTCGCAAAATTAAATCATACCGTGCAAAATTCAAGCTTTTTACCAGTTCATCTAATATGCGGTTATTTTTCAGATCTGCCTCTGTGACTGTCTAGGAAAAACAAACAACAGATGAAAAAAGGTCAAAAACAATAATTAACGTCATAATCTTGTTTTAGAAAATATCTGACCCATCTTCCTGAGGTTTTCCATCCCACTAAGTCTTCTAAGGCAGCCTCAAAATAAAATTAATTTATCTCATGCTAATATAAAATTTTAAAACAGTGAATCAGTATTTGCTGACTGGAAGCCTGATAAAAGCTCTCCAAAACTTCTCTTAAAATCATATATACTCTGTACTGACTACAATCGTAACTAATATAAGCAAGAATCTTTCTTCAAAATGCTAGCACTCAGCTTTCTCAAAACTTTCTCTTGACAAACAGAAGAGGAATGGTCTCTTAAGTACTAACACTGGGTGAGGCATTAAGCGTTCAAAGAGAATTTTAAAGTAAGACTGGTTTTCTGTAAGGCAAGAGAAAAGTGATAAACCCAATAGTTATTTAGTATGAGTATCACACAGTTTATCTCAGTGATGAGACCATCTTGACAAAAGCAGTGTAACATACTACAAAGATCTTAGACTTGGGAGCCAAATCACAAAATTTCTTACACAGAAATAGTTTTGAAAGGTTTAATAACACCCTGATACCACGTACCTACCAGAGAGGCAAAACTAACCAAACTCCTTACCTAGTCCTAGTGTCCGCTGTTAGACCTCACCTGTCTCTTCTTTCTTTATTCCCACTTATGTTTAATTGTGCTTTTAGTCTACTTTTCCACCTGTTCCCACTACTTGAACAGTTTCAGAAACAATAACAACAAACATCTAGTGTTTTCCCTAAAGCTCCGGGAGAGGAAAGAGGTAAGAGAACAGGTAGGCTGGATTGAGCCCAATGGCCAAGCATATTTACCTTCTGCACAAATACTTAGACTAGTTCCTTGCAAATAAATAATCCTATCATCAGAGTTTCTACCAAAGTGAGAAATTACTAAAAATTAGAAGCCATAAAGACATGGGTCATAAAAATAAAGATTACTACATGCTGAATTTAAAATTAGTTTTTACTTACTAAAATACATTTAGGTTTTCAGAAATCTTGAAGAAAAACTGAACAAAGCCCGGTTCTTCTTACATGTACTTTAGAGGTCCTTTCTGAAAATGTCTTTCATATAGCTTAAGTCAGTAACTGCACATCATCCTACATATACACAGGCTTTTATGTATACAAAAAAAAAAACAGAAATATTTGCTTGCAGCAGTCAGTAAATTTTTTAAAAAAGGAAACAAAAACTCACCACACAACAAGTTGGACACTGAGTTTTATAGGACAGAAATTTTCTTATACAGAGAGAGCAGTCTGCAAAACACAAAGTGCAACATAATGTTACTTAAGCTATACTAATAATACAGGAATATGACTTCTAACAAACTCTTAAGCACTAGACTATTTCCATCATCTAAGGTATAATCAATCATAAGCTTAAATTTCTAGTACCTCTACTCTATGCACACTTACACATGTGATTAAACAGCATTTTAAGGGAAGGTAAACATAAATATTGTAAGTCCTGTGGATACCACACTACACAAGCAACATACATCACTGGGTCCTCCATCTGCAAAACAGTAACTATACGTGCAAGACTTGGGCTGGGTACTATATAAACCTGCCATATAGCTCTACTGCCTATCATTTGAAAATATAAATTTTGAAACAACAGGCCGGGCACGGTGGCTCACACCTGTAATCCCAGCACTTTGGGAAGCCGAGGCAGGCAAATCACGAGGTCAGGAGTTCAAGACCAGCCTGGTCAGCATGGTGAAACCTCATCTCTACTAAAAATACAAAAAATTAGTCCAGCATGGTGGCGTGCACCTGTAGTCCCAGCTACTCGAAAGGCTGAGGCAGGAGAATTTCTTGAACCCGGCAGACAGACGTTGCAGTGAGCCGAGATCATGCCACTGGACTCCAGCCTGGGCAATAGAACAAAACTCCTGTCTCAGAAAAAGAAAAAAAAAAAAACAAAGAATATATACATATTAAGAAAAAATATATAGCCAGATTATCAGATTAGGAACTTCTATATCTTAATTCTATAAAATAATGTCCATCATCCCACATTTAATAAGCACTTTTGTGGCAGGCACTAAGGAAAGTTCTTGAGCTCAAGGAGCTAATAAAATAGTGAAGCAATTACAGCATAATTCCACATACTATATCCTAATAATTTAAGCAGGAAATGGGCATAAACTAAATTCACCACACTCAAGGCAGCATAAAATGTTCTCCCAGTCAAAGAAAAAGCAGATGTAACTAATAGAATGGTACCTTACTAATTAGCTAAGCTAATTTACACTAGTAGCCCAAATTCAGCTGTGTTAAGAGGCCTCATTAAAAAGGATTCTACTTAATTGAGGAGGAGACAGTATGATTTCAATGATACAGATAATCCAGAAAATAAATAAGTCTTGCCAGCCTCAGTAAGAGTACCCTAGGAGGAAAAACAGAGGAACACATTATGAAAAGGATAAAACAGGCAACAGGTTGAGTTCTCCTAGGAAACAAAGATGAATAAGGGGACCAATTTGCCACATAAGGGGCTTGGAAGTCACCACTCTGTCTTAACAACAAGTAAAAAGCTGAACAAACTGAAAAACCAACAACTTTTCTTACATCCAGCAGAAAAGCAAGGTCACAGGGCAAACTGCTGGCCCCCGAACTGGAGAGAGAGAGAGAGGTAATACTATCACAACTTACTGGAACAGAAACCCACAAACAGAAACCTCCACAGGAACCAGAGAAGAAACCTGTGCTGGAACCAGTGCTGGAGTAGGAGAAATGAATTGCTGGAAACTCAGTGTGGGCAAGTCTGAGAGTTAAAAACTCCAGGGGACCCTGTCATTGCAGGTATGGGGAGGATGTCCTCACATTTCTGTGAGTTTTAGTTCCAGGAGTTCTACAAAGTTCTACAGTGAATACTGGAGAAAAATTCCCTAGTCCTTTCAGCAGGAGGAAGGTAAAAGTAACCATTTCTAAATAAGCCAGAGTGGTCTTTTTTTTTCTGTAACCTCTGCCTCCTGGGTTCAAGCGATTCCCCTGCCTCAGCCTCCTGCGTAGCCAGGATTACAGGTGTGTGCCACCACACCCAGCTAATTTTTGCATTTTTAGTAGCGACAGGGTTTCCCCATGTTGGCCAGGTTGGTCTCAGGTGATCCACCTGCCTCGGCCTCCCAAAGTGCTGGGATTATAGGCAGTGAGCCACTGCACCTCGCCCAGAGTAGTCTGTTCTTAACAAGGCCCTCCCTCAGGAAAAACTATTTTACCAGAGCCAAATCTACTGGGGTTTTATCAGAGTCCAACTGACTCAGGAAAAAGGAAATATACAACTCCAGCCCTCTAACCATCCTGTCCTATCTAAGGAGGGGAAAACTGAGGAGTACTAGTGACATTCACAATCCAGGGACAAACTTCACTAAAAGAGAGACCTAATCATAGGACAACAGAATATGTCCCCTCTGTCCATATCTAAAGGCCTATTTACTACAATTCCTTTTACCTAGTATATCATTTCCAGCTATTAAGAAAAAAAATCACAAGGAAAAACAGTTTGAAACTGAGAAAGCAACAGAACCAAAGTCAGATATACAAAAAATGTGTGAAATTATCGGACCAGCAATTTTTAAAAACTATATGCTAAGGGCTCTAATGGAAAAAAAAGACAACATGCAAGAACAGATGGGTAATATAAGCAGAGAAGTGGAAATTCTAAGGAAGAATCAAAAAGGAATGCTAGTGATAAAAAAAAAAAACACTATAACAGAATGTCTTTGATATGTTCATTAATAGACTGAACACAGCTGAGGAAAGAATCTCTGAGCTTTAGGACATGTCAACAGAAACCTCCAAAACTGAAAAGCGAAGAGAGAAAAAGACTAGAAAAATGGAACAGAATATCCAAGAACTGCAGGATGACTACAAAAGATGTAACAAACACATAATGGGAATATCAGAAAGAGAAGAATGACAGGAACAGAAGAAATAGTAATGGCTAAGAATTTCTCCAAATTAACATTAAGCACTAAACTACTTATCCAGGAAGATTGGAGAACAAAAAGCAAGATAAATGCAAAAACAAAACAAACAGACACCTCAGCCAATCATATTGAAACTACATAAAATCAAAGATAAAGAAAAAAATCTTGAAGGAAGCTGTATGGGGGCCTTATCTACAGAGCAGCAAAGATAAGAATTACACCTGACTTCTCACAAACCATACAAAAGAGAGTGCAGTCAAATATTTAAAATATTGAGAGAAAAACACCACCAAACTAAAACTATACCCTGATTCAAGAGATTTTGGTCAATAAATCACATCCTTAATATGTGATATTGATTCAACAATAACAACAACAATTTTTAAAAAATTAATAAGTTGTTACTATTGAGTTGAATTATATGAAACTGACATTTTTTGTTAAGTTAAAAATGGACAAATATTGGCAATTTCATGTGGTTCAACCAAACATTGCACTTAGTATGTGCTCTGTTCTAAGCACTTTACATGTATTAACTCTTCTGATCCTTACAGCAACCCTGAGGTTGGTATCAATATTAGTCACATTTGACAAGAAGAAAAATGAAGCACAGGGCTCAGCTAACTTGCCAAAGATAATGGAACTAATAGGTGGCAAAGGCAAGCACCAGAGTCCATACTAATTTAAAATTACAGATGCTCCTTGACTTAACATGGGATTGCATCCTGATAAACCCATCATAAATTGAAAATATCCTAAGCCAAAATATACTTAGTATACATATCACTAGTCTGGGAAAAGATCAAAATTCAAAATTCAAAGTATGGTTTCTACTGAATGTGTATTGCTTTCACACCATCTTCAAGTTGAAAAATCCTAAGTCAAATCATCATAAGTCAGGGACTGACTATATTTAGAAATATTTGTTTATGATAAATATATAATAAATATTATAAATAAATATATATTATATATTTATACTATAAATTATGTATGATTATATAAATATGTACCATGTTATATAATACATATGTATACAATATATTATATTGTATATATATTATATATACATGTCACTATGTACCTATATATAGTATAAGTATACATTCTATATTATGTATACTTATATAAATAAATAACATTTAATAAGGTCACATGCATCTTTTAAATTAGTATTTATAATAAGGCTACTGCTCTCTCTTCTACATAATCTTGTGTATCATTCATTTTCTTTTCTTTTGAAATGTGGAGAACCAGATATGGAGTCCTAAGTAGATCAAGCCTTAGGCTTAATTTAAGTGTACTAGACTACTACCAAATATGTACTGGTAAGCTGCAAACCAGCATAATTTATTTTCTAATAAGCAACTATGACAACCCTCCATTCAAGGGAGAACAGCTGAAGAGTTTTGAATTCATGTATTCCCAGGGGTTTCATTTAAATCACCTATGAAGTTTGTCTTTCCATCCAAGAAAGCCCAAAAAAGATGTGTGGGCAGAGTGGGAGACAGTACAATAACAACAATGAAATAAAGGGTAGTTTCATGGAAACATCCAAGCCTTGGGAGAAAGGGCATCTCTAATCCCAAACAAGATGCTGCAATCTGCTGGCTTTCAAACATATAAAGAGTCTAGCATCTTTACAGTACAAAGGAATTTTCTAAAACTTAAACCAACACTTTCTGTGTGAAATCTTAAGGATTTTATGAAAAAGAAAAAAAACTGTTTAGAAAAAACATCTGAAGTGTCCAGTTAGATGGAAAAACTCCAGTTCCCAAAGTGAAAAGAACAGGATGTCCAAGAAAGCTGAGAAGGTTGGCATCTGCCTCCAGTTCTAATGTTAAGTAAGGGACAGTTAGGTGATAAGAGAATAACATCCCTCCAACTAAAGACTAGCATTTCAAAATTTCCAGAAGTGCAGCTCTGCAAAATTGTATGTCCCTTTTGTATGCATAGCTATTTCTCTTCTCTGTCTTGTTTCACAGTGCTACTTAATGAGAATATAAAAGAAGATAAACACGTTGATTACTTCCCTAATAGAATCTTACGTTGTCTCCTGAATTAGCAAAGGTTTGTGAGTGGAACATCTCATATTTCAGATTTTTTTAAAAATGAAATTGCTTTTTATTCCTACACAAGCTTTGATTAATTTTTTGAGTCCAAATCCACAAAAGAAAAGAAAAAGACTGTTGGCCAAGCTTTAAAATAATGGTAATTTATCACTGTCCACAAGCCATTATTTCATCAAGGAGCAAATATTTTGATCACCTTCCACTATCAAGTGAGAAAAATTATGCAAAGAAATTATGCGAGTGCAAAGAA